GGCAGGGGGTTGGACTGGATGGCCCATGAGGTCTCTTCCAACTCTTTGATTCTATGATTCTATGAATATGGATTAAGTTGCTCTACCTCAAGGTCCAAGGAAGTTGAGTAGTTTGGCAGCTGTATCCACGACTGAGAAGTCCTTTTAAGATCCACTCTGCTCACTCCACACAGGGAGGGGGCTAGAAAAGATGGTCTAAGCATAGGCTGCCTTTCTCATCCCTGACTGGACTGTCACTACCTTACAGCCACAAAAGAAAAAATGAATTTTGGCACCACTTAGACTATGTAATTATATGTGCCCGAAACCACTGTGATGTGCTCCTTACAAGGATCATGACAGATGTTGATGACTGCTGGACAAACTACAGGTTAATTCGATCTACAATGGCCATCAAGATTGCCTCCAAATGCAGACTCAAAACTACATTTGGATACCAACTAAGCAACAGCAGGACTGAAAATGATAACGAGATCCAAAGCCTTCCAAATATGGCAGAGAGACACCAACTGTGCTGCTAAGAAAAAGATCTACGTCAGTACGAAAGCTGAGGTCCAAAGAAGAACTCAAGAACATCTTGTGGACAAAAAAAGCTCAAGAAATCCAACACTTTGCAAATGCCCATGATGCACGGGAATTCTTTTACACAACAAAGGCCATCTATTGCCCCAACCTTATTCTCCATCTTCACAGCTATGACACTGCACCTTGTTGATGCAAAGCCGCCCACCGGTGTGGAAATCATTTATCAGACAGATGGCAAGTTACTTAACCTCAGGAGATGGAAAACCAAAACCAAGGTCACAACAACATCTGTTATAGAACTCCAATATGCTGATGATAATGTAGTCTGTGCTCTCCAAAGTGCTCTTTCTGCAGGCATCATCCAATCCCTTTGCAATGCCAGAAATACAGCTAATGGTGTAACATTAGAAAATGTTGACTGTTTCCGCTACTTTGGCAACCACCTCTCCACAAAAGTCAACATTGACTCTGAAATACAACACTGCCTGAGTGCTGTGAGTGCAGCACTTTCTCAAATGAATCAGAGAGTGTTTGAGAATCAGGACATTCGTAGGGGTCAAGATGCTTGTTTATAAAGCTATTGTCCTCCCAACCCTGTTATATGCCTGCAAAACTTAGACCACCTACTGATGTCACACCTAACTTCTAGAACAATGCCATCAGCCTTGCCTCTGAAAAATCCTGCAAATCTCTTGGGAAAACAGACAGACAAATGTCAGCATGCTGGAGGAAGCAAAGACCACCAGCATTAAAGCAATGATCCTTCACCATCAACTTCACTGGACTGGCTATGTTGTTCAAATGCCTGATCACTGTCTCCCAAAGCAATTACTCTACTCTCAAATCAAGAATGGAAAATGGAATATTGGTGAACAGGAAAGGAGATTTAAAGATGGGCTTAAAGCCAATCTCAAAAATGGTGGCATAGACACAAGTCTATATTTTTAATGTGTAATGTGTTCTGATTGTGTTTTTAGCTGTTTAAACGGAATATTTTAATTGGACTACCTTTTGTAGTACATATAATCCAACTATTTTGTTTTAACATATTTAGGCTGGTTTTTTAGAACCAACATGGTGTAAGTGTACTAGAACACTAGAAGAAGAGGGTTCAAACCTACTGGGTGGCCTTGGGCAAGTCAAATTCTCTCAGCCTCAGAAGAAGCCATGGGCAAACCCCTTCTGAACATCCTATAATAGGATCACCTTAGGGTCTCCATAAATCTGAAATAACTTGAAGCTACACAATAAGAACAACAACAAAGTTGCTTACTTTCAACAACAAGCCCCTTACTTTCTTCTTCTGGTTCCTTGAGTGTAATTCGTGCAATTTAAAAATAGCAAACAATCTTGAAAAATCACCTTATGACCTGAACTTAGAGATGGAGTTTTAGTAGCATCTGCTCAAAAGTATTTGTTAGCAAAAATCTATTGCAACTTTTAAAAAATGGTACCATTACCTGGATGTCTTTTTTTATGGAGAGCTTCTTTTCCTGTGATACAATCTGAATTTCATTATATCCGGTGTTGAAATAACCATTCTTTACTTTCCCCAGAGAACCATATTGTTGGGGCTTAGATGCATTCAGGAGGGCTTTGGATTTTGCTTTGGTGGTGGTGAGAGATACTTCAGGAATGCTGCACAAGTGTACCGTAAGACAGATCAGGAACACCAGAGCGGCGTAGAAGAACATCACCTGGAATTCTGTTCCCAAATATGTTCCCAAGACAGTGTGGCCCCAGTCAATGGCCCCTGTAAGGTAGCCAAGGGCCCCGCCCAGACCTAAAGCGAAATGGAGACACTCTATTAAAAGTAAAAATATAGTACAACTTTTATTTAATACAAACATGTATTAAATGACTACCCCATTTAAAGATTAAATCATCTCCCATTTTTGCTTCTTTTCTCTCTTCTCATGGTCCATTTTACCCAATCACTCAATATACTTTCAAATAGCAGATGATCCTAATTTATATATATACTCGTGTGTGTGTGTGTGTGTGTATATATATATCAGTAGTTTCAAATAGATGAAAGAGATATCATTACATTTACTAGCAAACTCAGGTGGTGAGGGCCATCAGGGTTGTAGACAAAAGATGGAGGCATTGGGTAAACTCCATCTATGGGAAAATCTGAAGGGAGGGGAAAACCCCATCTCCAAATGAGAATTTCCTGCTCAGGTTCCATAGGTTCAGGCTATCATATATATGGCCATATATATGGCCATTGACTGCAATTGTTTCTCTCCTTCCTGGGAATTCACTGGGGACTAACAGCCAATGGCTCCAAGGCGAGCACTTTAAGTAGCACTGAACCAGGAGGCCATATTCTTCCATAACAGCTTACAAGGGTTTTGAGATCTTTGTTGCTCATGTAGACCTCAGAAATGGTTCTGAGAGAGAGCTTTCTCACTGGTTTCCCCACAAGCAAAGCTAGGCTGGCTCCTTTTTGGTCTTTCCACAAGCAAGCAAAGAGCATTATCATACCAGCTTGTTGTTTTATAACAGTTGTGTGAAACAATCATTATCACACTTCTCTGCAATTGCACTACGGTGCTGCTTTGGCAATGCACAGTTCTGTGATCAGTCTTCTATACTGCCTCACTGGCCCTGCCTTCCAACCCATATAAACATGGAAAGCAATAGGAGAGACATAAGAGGCCTCATCATGCTTGAACATTTATCCACTTTAATCCACTTTTGCTTTCTGCAAAATTCTGGGGTTTGTAGTTTAGGGAGCCCAGCACTTCTCTGGGTGAGCAGCTTAAAGGATCCTCCCTAAACTACAAACTTCAGAATTCTCCAGGGGTCAGTTACAGCATCTAAAGTGGATAAATGCTTAAGCATGATGAGGCCCTAAAAGTCACGTGAAAAGGTATAGTCAAAATGGTCCTGTCCTGCTGTATTTGTGATTTTCCAGCTTTGTGTAATAATTAAATGCACTTCCTTCCTGCAAGACTTTGGCAACTAATTTCACTCACAGTGGAAGGGGACCTGAAGATTAGCAGTTCAAATCTACGAGATGGGCTGAGCTCCCATCTGTCAGCTCCAGTTCCTGCCAACCTAGCAGTTTGAAAACATGCAAATGTGAGTAGATAAATAGATACTGCTTCAGTGGGAAAAGGCAAAGAGACACTCCAAGCAATCTTGCCGAATACACAACCAGGAGGTGACAATGCAGGATCCTTGGCTTAAAAATGGAGAATAGTACTTCCCCAGAGCCAGAGATGAGCACCACCTCCAGAAGCCAGAAATGAAAGGAGAAACCTTTGCCTTTGTTTGTGTTTGTGTGTGTCTCATTGTATATAATTGTAAATGCATTAGATGTTTGGGTTGTTGTAGGTTTTTGCTTATATGTTTATATGCTTAGATGTTTGCTTATATATGTAAATGCTGTAATCCACTCAGAGTCCTCTAGGGGAGAAGGGTGGAATATAAATAAATGGTATTATTATTAGTGTGATTCTGTGTTTTCTTTTACTGGTACATTTTAATTTTCAGCTTTAGTATCTTAGGTTCTTAATTTGCTCCATGTTTTATTTGTAATTGTTTTATTCTATTTCATTCTTAGCCACACCCTGAGTTCAACTTGTGTTTGAAGAAAGATGTGAATCCAGAAAGTAAGCCATGTGCAATATTCCAAAGGAAGGTGGAAATATATTGGCAGAAACCTGAAACAGGAACATTTCTACAAGGAAGTAACATTTTTGCTCCAGATTTTACTGCAACATTTTGCTCCAAATTCCCTTGCAATGGTCATGCTGGCCTGGGTCAATGCAGATTCCTCAGGGCTTTGGTAAGGTTACTACTTTGGTAATTCCAATGATATCTCAGCCAGCATCCTGTGAGTTGCCAGGCAAAAAAGTAATTTATTCCACTTTGTGCTTTCCCACCATGATGTTTCAATAACATTCTGTTGAGGAGTCCCATAATACCTCTGTTATTTGAAAGGTCTTAGAATAAACCGCAGAAGGTCTAGACATGAGGATCATTCACAGAAAGCCACACAACCTGTGAGAACGTAAAATCCTCTCCAAAGGTCAGTACTGGATATCAGTGGGCCAATTTAAAAAATGGACTTGCAATCTTATTGAGTGATCAAAAAGACTCCAGCTTTCTCTAGGGAGCTCTGTGTGTATTTTAGTTTGTTGTCAGAAGGTAGAAAAGGGATTTTTTTTACTGCTGCCATTCCTTCTACTTTAAGAAATAAGAACTGCTAAAGTCTGAGGTTTACAAAAAGTGGCTTGGCTTGTAATTAGTCTACTCTACAATATTGGCTAGAATTTGGGAATGACTCCATCATAAACACAGTGTGCTTTCAGGAACAGCTTCTGTCTTTGGGAAATGATAAATGCAGTGACTACTGTGATTTGTGACAGCTACCAGAAATGCAAGGACACATCCCATGAGTAGCAGCATGAGTAACATCTGAGATGTCCTGTCTCCCAAACCCACGAGGCAGGTGATTTTGACATTGCAGCCCCTGGGCTTGCAATGCAGCACAATCTGCTCTTTGTCTTGTGGTGGGCTGATCAGAGGCATTCAGATCACGTGCATTTTCCTTCCCTCTCTTAAGACCTTTGCCAGCCCAACATGAAAGATTAGTCCAGAGGTCAGAGAACGAATATTTTTAGAGCATAAGAATTACTACATCTGTAAAAGGGGGAAAGGCTGGATTTACAATGGAGAGGAAAGATCACTGTTGACAAAAAGAATTTCCAACTAGGAAACAATAATACCTTTTCTTTCATGTCAAAAAAACCCTCAGCCCTTTGTAGAATTTTAAATTGTTTTTTGACATTTCACTGAAACCCACTTAGTGATCAACTCCTAATTTGAAGACCTAAATGCTCACCATAGTGGTGTTCAAGATGAGAATACAGAGCAGGGGTAGGAACCTGTGGCTGTCTAAATGTTTTTGGATTGCATCTCCCAGCATTCCTGGTGACTAGTAACATTACTCGGGGATTTTAGGACTTGCAAGCTAATGATATCTGAAGGGAAACGATTGCCTATGATTGCCCTGACACAGGAAAGCATGGATCATCACAAGGCAAATTACTCTTATTTGGAGCTGGACAAATCATCATTAGAAGCTGCAAAATCAATATTAATGATCAATCAGACCACAGTTGGAAAAAATTAATTTGGTGGAACTTCAGTTTACAAAATCCCTCAGTGTTAGCACAGAATTTTGGAAATTCGAGTAGAAAAACAGATTTCCTAAACTTAGTTCAGAGATGCCACTCTCATGTATTCAAGGCAAGTGAGCATTGGAACAAGATAGTTTGGAGCTTAAAGTAAACAGAGATGTTTTTAAAGAGTGCATAGATCTTAATTGGTTTTCTTGTCTACAATCTAAAAGAGATTTAAGCAAGAAAAGGGAGATCTTGTGAAAGGGGCAAGAGGAAATGACTTTTTTATAGAATTGTTAGGGATAATGATGGTATAATTTAAAAAGTGTGTTAACTGCCTTTTGAAAATAGAAACAAAATATTCATTTGTTAAAGAATACATGATAAGATGGGCCCCAAATATTGGGTATTATGTACAAATGAATGTACCAAAGATTTTTTTTAAAAAAAAAAAAATACTTTGTGTTGCAAGCTAAAAGAAAATGTGTCCAAGATGGTGTATAGTTGGTGTTTAATATTATATAATTTGTGAGAAAAATGCCAATAAGTGTTTCAAATCAATGTTGGAGTTGTCTGGACAAACAATCTTTTTGGTCACATGTGGGGGATTTAAAAGTTGGCAAAAAGTGATTAAGATGTATATATAAATTAATTCAAAACATTTTAAAGGTAGAGTTTACATTTTTACCAGAAATGTTTTGCTGGGTGTTATTCATAAAGAATTGCATAAAATATGCAATATAGTTTATTTAATCTAGTATAATTTAGATGTATGTTTAGCTATGCATTCAAAGCACAAGATCATTCCATCCTCTGGATGTTCCAGTTTCATTATAAACAATGGCACAGCAAAGTGATGTCTCTCATCTTAAAGAGCAAAATCAAAGCTAGCCTTTTTGTGTGGAATATTTTCAAGTCATGGATGGTTGGAATTCATTTTGCAGCAACTGAAGTAAGATGAGGACAAAAGGGGGAGTGGAGTAAAGTAGGACATTTTAAAAGCAGATGTAAAATTGGGACAGGAAAGGATTAATCAGAACTGTAATTGCTAAATTGGGATAGTTGGAGAGAGAAAAATCTAAATGTAGGTATTTTTAAAAAGTCACCATATATAATAGTAGCATTGTTAACAGATGCAATATAAAGTGTACACTCCCTGCCACTGCCTTCTGGTGTGATATGTGGCAAAGGATTTGAGCTTTATACATCTGTCCATTTCTATGTGATATTTATATAAGTAACACAAGCCCAATGTATTTGGAACCTTCTGTTTTCATGGAAAGTATAATATTTGGGGTGAATGGGTCTACCCCATATACTACTAAGAAAACAAAAGCAACCCAAGAGCATACCAAACATTGCTAGGTTGACTTCCGATTTAATTGTGTCTTTCTTTGAAAGAAACTTCTCTTCCAGAACCTCTTTGTAGTTCTGTGGTCACAAGGTAACCTGTTTAAACAATGCTCCTGACCGAAGCAGCGGATCAGATGATCCATTCATTCAGGGAGCTTGAGCACGGAAACAGAGAGGAGACCTCAACGCAGCAAACATCCTTCCCTTCCCCTCCTCTCCCCTCCCAGAACATCTTCTCAAGCTCTAGCATCAATACTATAAAGTGCCTACGAAGGTGCCTTGGAAGCCTTGTTTTACCTGTCAGAAGGGCGTGATAATGGAGCCCTCTTTCCTTATCCTGGTGAGAGCAGACGTCAAACAGATAAGCCTTAATGGGACCATCAATGAAGTCAGCTGCAAAATCAAAGAGCACCACACCCAGCATAGTGATGACTATAGCCCAGGTCCTTTGGCTGGCTCGGTCAGGGACCAAAGCTATAAAAAAGGAAATTGCGGGGGAAAAGTATTACTTATAGAGAACTGAGGGTGGGAAGTAGGGGAAGGCTGAGCGAAGGAAGATAGATGAGGACCATTTGTTGAAATTCAATCAAGGGACAAGGGACTCTTCCTGCTGAAGGGTCTATAGGAGAAAAGTCCTGATCCTGTGTTGTGTTATTACAAGTAGTGCTTGGAAAGGTTATTTTTCCAGACCACAAAACCCATAATTCCTCACATTTTGAAAGTCTTCTTCCTCCTACTGTGTGACAACCTCCTGTGAAGTTGCCCAATCTTTTCAAAGTTATGCACCTTGGCTTGAAGCAACATCTTTCCTCCCACCTTTGTCTCTAACAAACTGAAATTAACATCTCACCATCATAGTTATAAATTTTGCATTTTAATTGTCATTCTCACACACCCATGCATTTGCTGAATGGAACTTCGTCTATGAAGAGTTGTGCTATAAGTTCTTTCACTCGCTTAAGCCCCTTCCACACAGCGGTATAAAATCCACATTGAACTGGATTATATGGCAGTGTGGACTCAGATAATCCAGTTAAAAGCAGACATTGTGTATTATCTGCCTTGATATTCTGGCTGTCTGGAAGGGCCCTGGCCTTCACCACCCCCAATCACATATTTGTTAGATTTGGATTGTATTTTGTAAGATATAAATGTTTAAATATTTCTTGCACATAAAATACCATGAGTAATTTAATTCTGTGCTTCACTTGGGAATGTAAAGCTTCTGTCTTGCAAACTACCAGCCCTAATTTCACTGTGCCTGAATTTATATGGTGAATGAGAGCATGCCGAAAGACTTAATTTGGTATGGGATTATATATTCCTTTCCACCACAGTTAGTTAGCACTCACGAGATGAATCTGGCAGGCTTCAAAGCACTCGTGTTGGTGTTAACATACTCTGAAAGCGATTTCATTCCAGTGACTGCCATGGGTCAAAGCCAATTTCAGTACGGGGTCCTTGCAGTCTGCAAATTGCTTTGCAACCTCCCTGCCCTTCAAATAGTCCCATGGCTTCTGTACAGCTGCTCCAGAATAAACATTAGGCTTGTATATGGGTAATATCTATGGAGATCTCTTGGACTTTTAAGATACTGAGCCACTTTTGAATTGTTTTTAACTCCAAATGACCTGTTATAACAGGAAAAAGATTCTTCTTGCCTGAAGAACTTTAAAAGGTTAGCTTTGAAGTAAGCTACTTGCATTCCATGTGTGAGCCTTCCAAATCTGTTGAGGAAATGCCAGATTTACTTCAGAAGTCTCCAGAGCTTAGTAAATCCTGCCTTTTGAATTGGTCCTAATCGTAGTAATATTATTGGGGTGAGACTGTTCGCGTAGAGACAGCCAAAGGAGAGAAGAGACAGGCGCTTTGAGCTGGAATGCTGAGAACAGTCTTGGTCCAAAGGCTGGAATTCAGCTTCTTCATAAGCACAGTTTGGAAAAATTACTGTTTGGGACTATGATCCATTGATTCATAGATTCTACATCCACAGATCCAAACATACATGTTATCAAACTATTATTTTAATCCCAAACACAAATCTGGATTTTGCCATTTTATATAAGGAACATCATTTTAATATGCTGTTGTATTTAATTAGTATCCATAGATTTTGGAATCAGAGGGGGGGAGGGTGTTCCTGGAACCAAACCTCAGTGGGTACGAAGAGTCCAATGTGCAATTTTCAATTACCATGCCTGTTTGGGGAATTAAAATGGTAACTCCTGTAGTACCCATTGCTTGCCACTCGTATTTCTTGCTAGGGAAAGGCTGTAAGAGAGCAAAGATTACTGTGGAAATCTTCATATGTCTCTGGAGAATTTAGAAAACGGACATGTTGCCATCAAAACTTCTGCAGGCCAGACTGAAAACACTGATAGGGGCAGTGCTTGGCCTTCATTTTGCAGGTAAAGTGCAATTGCTAATATTAGGACTGAAAAGATTCTGTAGGACTGTAAGACAAGTAGCACTATGAAACTGAAATATTGTAACCAAAATGTCATTTTCAAAAAAAATATTCTGCTAATACCGGGATAGAATAAAAATCAATGTGGTTGACCTTTCCAAGAAGTTACACTTGAAATAAACAATGTACATTGATTAATATAATAAATGGATTAGTCGTCCTTTTTATTTTTACCTGCCTCTGTTTTCTTGGAAACTTTGTGCAAAAATGTCGCCAACACAGATAGCAAACCCAAATACAGAATACATATACTTTCTGAATCAAAAAAGCAGCCTGCTGCAAATGTTCAGCACTTTGCCTGAAAGACAATTAACATGGTGTCCCTCTTATTTGTATCCCAAATCTTTATTTTTTTTAAAAAAAAAGTAATGCCAGCTACTATATAGCAAGCAAACCCATAACCAACATCCAATCCATAATTAATCAATAATAATTTCACTGCTACTCCTGAATTTTGAAATATGACCAAAATTCACAGGGAGGAGGGAGCAAGCTTGTTTTCTGCTTCCCTGGAGACTAGGACACGGAACAATGGCTTCAAACTACAAGAAAGGAGATTCCATCTGAACATTAGGAAGAACTCCTGACTGTGAGAGCTGTTCAGCAGTGGAACTCTCTGCCCCGGAGTGTGGTGGAGGCTCCTTCTTTGGAAGCTTTTAAACAGAGGCTGGATGGCCATCTGTCAGGGGTGCTTTGAATGCAATATTCCTGCTTCTTGGCAGGGGGTTGAACTGGATGGCCCATGAGGTCTCTTCCAACTCTGATTCTATGATTCTATGAATTCCCAACCAACATGGCTACAATTTCTCAGTTTAAGATATTTGTAGTAACTAAGATACTGTGTACTTCAGTCATGGAAGGACTGAGCAGTTCTTCCATGACAAAAGTGCAAAGTGAATCCTGAATCCTGATGTATTCATCCCACATTTTGCTTTATTGTTGATGCATGGCTTTTCCTCACTACCTCTGAGGATGCTTGCCATAAATGCAGGCGAAACGTCAGGAGAAAATGCCTCTAGAACATGGCCTAGCATTTTCTAATAGTGTTTGGGAAAGTTACGTTTTTGGATTACACCTCACAAAACACCCTGGTAGCCACACCTGGCAATTCTGGATTTGTAGTCCAAAAGAAGTAATGTTTCCCTCATCAACAATCTTTTCTGCTTTGTTGAAGTATTTGTAGAAGCTTTCACTTACTCACCTAAGACGACAGTGTCTCCGTTGAGGTACAAAGCCATTCCCACCAGCATCATCATGCCAAGGACCAAGATGAAAGGTCTCCGCTTTCCCCAACCAGAAGAGCAGTGGTCACTGGCTGAGCCGACCACAGGCTGCAAAACAAAGCCAAGGATGGGGCTGATGAGCCACACCAGGCTATACAAGCTTTTGGGGAGGCCCACGCTGAGGAGTACCGGGGTGACAAAAGCAGCCTCCACAGCGTAGCAGAACTCCCGGCCAAACATGACCACACTGTGCATCACCAACTTCCCTGTAGCTTTCTTGGGAGGCTCCACTTGTCCAAAAGGGTCTCCCCCAGCCAAGGACTGGAGCATAGTCTCCTCTTTCTCGCTGCTGCACTCCGTGCTAGCTGTGCCCATCTCACAGGGCTGTGGAAGCAGCCCTGCCATCTCTGGCTCAGACAGACTCATCAGGCTGCTGTGTGGGAGCGCGTGCTCCAGCAGACACGGATCTTGGGTCAGGCTGGGAAAAAAGTGAAAAGAGCTAAAGGAGGGGCTCACATACTTTTCATGGCTCCAGAATCACAAGTTGCACAAGGGGGAGTGGTGGGGGGAGTACTGTGCGCCTGTGAGCCTCCAATGGAAGATTAGTCCTATTAGAGCTCCGGACTAAATGGAGAGTTCTCTGCTCTCTATGACTGGAGGATTATCTCCAAAAGAGCAAGGAAGCCTTTCACGTGAATGTACAATCCTCATGCGCCAGGGAGCAACTTTCATTTAAAGACATGATTGTTTTAAACTGATTTTGCAAAATAGCCACATAAACTATTTCCTTCCGTTCAGCAAAGCAGCAAGATCCAGAATTTGGATTTTTTTTAACTGCAACTCCCAGAGTATCAAGCCAGCATTCGAATAGTTACTTTTTGAATCTCCCAACAGGACAATTTGTAGCAATCAAACAAAATCCAAAATCCACAATATGTCAGTCTTATAATCTATGACAAATGTATGACAATAACAACCACCACCACTATCACCATCATCATCAACAACATCTCATCATCATCCTCTTTATTTATAGACTGCCTTATCTCCTCGATGGGAGCTTTTGAGTTGTCTGCCTGGGCAATAAGAAATTGGCAATTTATAGTTTATCCTAAAAATATTGACCATTTCTGGGTTGTGCTTGTTTTAAAAACTGCAGATCCCAGAATCCCCTTAGCACTGATGACTAAAGAATCATTGACTTTTCCAAACTCTGGTCAGGATATTGATGCATTTGTCAATTAATCTATGAGATACTTTTTTACACTCTGATTTGAAGCAACAATGGGTTTACTGGACTGAACTGGTTGACAGAGTTGTAGAAGGAAGAAAGAGTACAAGTTATGCAAACTCTCTAGTGGCATTTAATCCCATGTGCTTTGATGCTTGGGGTGCTTTGATGTTTGGCTTTCTTACTTCCTGGGTTCTGTTTTCCCTGTGAATACTTGAAGCTCCTTCCCTATATTATGTTAAGCTTCTATTTTAATGTTAATCCTATTTTCCAGGAGGAAAAATTAAAATACACAGGGAGTATTCTACTTTAGGGTTCGTTTTGAAAAAGTCATCTCTTTTCCATAGATATTATATTATATTATATTAATGCCCCACTTTATCTCCCCTGAAGGGGACTCAAAGTGGCTAAATTATCAGAATGTTTGAAAACATAAATAATATAGAATTAAGTAATTATGTAACATGGAGCTATTACTAGATGCAAGTAGATATAACATTCTTTTTCTTCCTGATTTAATATGACTGGACATGCACAGCCAGTGATAATATTCTAATATACATGCTAATCCTTTTTTTAAAAAATCATGTTAATAACTTTGGGATTAAATCTAAGATTGTGAGCTTTGGTGAATGAAAACGAAAGGTGTTTTCAGTTTCCCAGCGGTGTACTGGCCAGTGAGTGGAATGGAATTATACTTCTCCCTGAAGGATCTGATTTGGCTTTATAGTTTCCAGCACCATTTGCTGATAAGGCTCTACATCAGAAATGATGGACTGTGTGACCTTCCTGGTGATGTTGCACTGCAGCTCTTACTACCTATCTTACCACCTGGCTATTTGAGCAGGCTTTCCCAAATGCAGTGTAGCAGATAAACTCTGATCTTGGAATGGCTGGACAATGTGACTGGATAATGATTTGGTAATGAAATGCGGAGGATTTATTGTTTTATGATGTTTTATTGATGTTATTATGTAGTGAATTTTTATCTATGTTTAAACGTTTAGCTATTGTTATGGGCATTGAATTGTGGCTTTCTGTAAACCGCCATGAGTTGCCCCCGGGCTGAGAATGGCGGCATAGAAATATAGTACATACATACATAGATACATACATAAATATCACTCATGGCACTACTGACTAGAACGGATTGGCACTACAGTCCAAGGAATCCTGAGTAAGCACACATTCCCCATCACTGCTTTGGGCGTTTTATTTATTAGTATAGTTTAACTCCAACCTTTGACCAAAAATAAGCTAAGTACTATAATAAAATGACAGAATATGAATCCTATATTGCAGTGATTCTTGCCATCGAATAAAGATTTGTGCATGCCTGTGCATGAATATGCAACATATGGCAAACCTATATGGCCTTTGATACCATAAATCATGGTATCCTTCTGGGACCCCTCATGGAAATGGGGCTTGGGGGTACTGTTTTACAGTAGCTCTGTTCCTTCTTGGAGGGCCATTCCCAGAAGGTGGTGTTGGGGGACACCTGCTCAGCCACAGCCTTTGTCCTGTGGGGTCCTGCAGGGCTCAGTGTTGTCCCCCATGTTGTTTAACAGCTACATAAAACTGCTGGGAGAGATCATCCAGAGTTCTGGAGTTCAATGTCCCTGTACGGATGTTCCACCAGCTGCTAAGGAGGCTGTTCAGGTCCTAAACCAGTACTTGATAGCTGTAACTGTCTGGATGAGGGTGAACAAATTGAAATTGAATCCAGACAAGACAGAGGTACTTCTGGTCAGTTGAAAGGCCAAACAAGGTATAGAGTTACAGCCTGTGTTGGATGGGGTTACACTCCCCCTGAAGACACAGATTTGCAGCTTGGGAGTTCTCCTGGATTCATCACTGAACCTGGAACCCCAGGTTTCGGTGGTGGCCAGGGGAGCTTTTGCACAGTTAAAACTAGTGCACCAGTTGCACTCATACCTTGGAAAGTCAGCCTTGGCTACGGTGGTCCATTCTCTTGTTACATCCTGTACAGACGACTGCAACATGCTATATATGTGGGGTTTCCTTTGAAAACTGTTTGGAAACTCCAACTGCTCCAATGGACAGCAGACAGATTGCTCACAGGAGCAGCATATAAGGAACATATAACCCCCCTGTTGCATCAGCTCCACAGGCTGCCAGTCTGCTACCAAGCACAATTCAAAGTGCTGGCTCTAGCCTATACCTGTCTGAACACATCTCCCTTACCTATCTGAACGCATCTCCCCCTATGAACCATCTCGGAGGTTAAGATCTTCCAAGGAGGCCTTGCTCTCGGTCCCACCTTGTTTGCAGGTGTGGTTGGTGGGGACGAGAGACAGGGTCTCCTCGGAAGATCTTATGGAACTCCCTCCCAAGTGAAATCAGGTCAGCGCCCTCCCTCTTGGTCTTCAGAAAGTGAAGATATGGCTATGTGACCAAGCCTTTAATCAATAAAGTAATGCAGTCTTAGAAATTGATATGGAATATGTGCAATTGACAACTGGAGCAGCTCTGGATTATGATTTTGGATTGTGTGATTTTTAGATGTTGCTGCTAAGATGTTTTAATTTTATGATTGTGAATGTAATTGTTTATTTTAATTGATTATTTGTTTCATATGTCATTGAGTAATTGCCTATTTGTAAGGTCACTCCAAGTCCCCTTTGGGTTTTGTTGTTGTTGTAGTTGTTGTGTCGGGAGCGACTTGAGAAATTGCAAGTCGCTTCTGGTGCAAGAGAATTAGCCGTCTGCAAGGACGTTGCCAAGGGGATGCCTGGATGTTTTGATGTTTTACCACCCTTGTGGGAGGCTTCTCTCATGTCCCCGCATGGAGAGCTGGAGCTGATAGAGGGAGTTCATCCGTGCTCTCCCTGGATTCGAACCTAGAACCTGTCAGTCTTCAGTCCTGCCGGCACAGAGGTTTAACCCATTGCGCCACTGGGGGCCCCTTTGGGATGAGAAAGGCGGGATATAAATATGGTAAATAAATAAATAAATAAATTTCATCAAGTTTTCTTAGGCAAGGAATACTCAGGATTTTATTACATGAAGCTTCTATTCTATGGCAGCTCCTAGATAGTAGGAGCACCTGCAATATCTCACCTATCTTCATTTGCAAAATTTACCAATTTCACAACTGTCTTGTGATTCCACTTCCACATACTCTAGTAACCCCTCCTTACTATAATTCTGCTGAGCCATATTTTTTGTGTTTTATGAGTAATTTTGTAGTTTCAACAATAAACAAAAAAATGTAAATTTTTTTGTCGTGTCAGGAGTGACTTGAGAAACTGCAAGTCACTTCTGGTGTGAGAGAATTGGCCGCCTGCAAGAACGTTGCCCAGGGGACACCCGGATGTTTTTTTATATATATTTGCCATCTTTGTAGGAGGCTTCTCTCATGTCCCCACATGAGGAGCTGGAGCTGATAGAGGGAGCTCATCCGCACTCTCCTCGGATTCAAACCTGCGACCTGTCAGTCTACAGTCCTGCCGGCACAAGGGTTTAACCCACTGTGCCACTGAGGGCTCCATGTAACGTAATTGCAAAATATAAAATAAACACAAAACTGGAAGCTTTGAAATCAAGGGATGGAGATGGGCAAGAGATTCCTGTCCCTTGACATCACTTTACTGCTCACATGGTAACCCAGGAAAATGGACCCACCACAAAAGATAGGTGACAGAAACTTTGTGGGATTGTGAGCTATTGACAGGTTTATTGCAGGGAGAAGACATTCTGGCAGCACGATGCACACAACTTCAGAGCCACTTTGCCTGCCTCATGCAAGAAAGTTTCCAGGTGATTTTGCCAGTCCCTTCCTCTGAAATATAGCCTCCAGCACCTGGTATTAATTGGTGGTCTTCCATCCAAACATTACCTAGAGCTGCCTTTGCTCAGCTTCCAAGATCAGACAGGATATGGTGCCTTTAGGGTGAAAGGCAAACGATTAACAAGTAAAACAGCAAAACCAGGGAAAACTAGTCAGATCTCGCCTTGGTCAAGCATTTATGGTGGGGGTTGGCAACTGTTTCCCAATTTTTTTTATAGAGTTCTCTTATAAGTTAAACAATAAAACTTGGAACACTGCAATTCTATGTGTAATCAGCTTGGACACATGGCCCACTGAACTCGGACATAATTCTAAGTGGGGTATAAACATCAGAACTTGAAATGTTTGTTTGAAAATTAATCCAATAATATTAAACTTTAGAACATTTTATTTGCTTGCATAAACACCAAAAACGGCTGAATTAAGTTATCATTATTTGGTAAGTTATTATTATTTGCCACATTGATTAAGCCATTTCTGTTGGGTCAGACCTTGTGATTAACAGAGAATGGCATAGGGATTACCACTGTTGAACTCATGGAAGCGCAAAAGCCAAAGGGAAAAATCACCCCCTTCCTTGTCCTACTGGAAGCTGTTTTTTCTGTCGTGTCACATGTGTTTGTGTGTATTTCTGCTCTTTTCTCAGACAGAGATCACAGAAAACTCCCTCCTGCCTTTCCTCCCTCAATATAGGGAATGAAACCATGGTATAGATCAGTGGTTCCCCCAGATGTTTTTGGCCTACAACCCCAGAAATCCCAGCCAGTTTACCAGTTGTTAGGATTTCTGGGAGATGGAGGCCAAAAATATCTGGGGACCCCAGGCTGAGAACCACTGGTATAGATGCATATGTAGACATGTATGGTGGGAGTCAGGAGAGAAAGAAACAGAGAGTACATATAGCAAACAATGGTGACCTTTTTTCTGCCAGAACAGTTTTCAGTAGAACCGAGCCTTACTTCCTCTGCAGACTTGGCACACTCCCCAAATAGCCCAGGGGTGTAAACCTTCTTTGGATTGTTTTCAATTGGTGTAGAAACTTAGAAACTGACAGTGAAGGGGAGGGAAATGAAGTTTCTCACTGGCTATAGGTACAGAAGCATGCTTCCAAAGTGCTGCTGAAAGGGAAGAATAGCATGTTACTTTGCTTGGGAATGAGCAGAAAGATAGATTAATAAGCAGCTTGGAGAGTGGCTATTCAGATTTGAGGGACCTCAGAATTTATGCTATTTTGCAGCATAACTTTCTTCAGTGGAGATGTATATATATACAGTGTGTGTGTGTGAGTTTGAGTGTATATATAGAATTGAGTAAGCTAAAGCCACATGACCATATCTGTAGTCCTCTCAAACTAAACATTGATCCCTAGTTTAAAAACAAGCAAGCGTTCATGATAATAGCATACCAATCATATAATCATTTTTCAAAACACATAGAAAATGAGTTTATATTTTATTTGTGAGTTTTAAAAATTATATTAACAGATTTTATGAAAACCATTTCTCTTTACAGCATAAATGACAAACACAAAGATTATAGTATCTTAGTAGATCATTCAAATACATTTTTAAACATTGTTTGTTTAGGCTGTACGCTATAATCAAATGACACAATAAACATTACAATTTTAAAAAGATAAGGCTAAACTTGTCAGACACAACTCCTTCACTGAGATCGGCATTAATTATAAATGTAAAGAATATAACCATTTATCCAAATCCCAACCTAGCACATCAATATTTGCAATATTCTTGTGCCATATGGCCAATGTTAATGTAGCTATTCTTTGCTCGAGGGGAGGAGAATGGACCAATATTCACATCCCTTCAACATCTTATGCTTGTACATCATGTTCTCTTGTTCTCTATTATAGGACAATAAAACAAGCAATGTGAAATGCATAGTCTCCTCTACTCCACAGATATATGACGGTGGGGATATTACAGCAGCTTTCCTGTAAACATTACCTAACCTGGTGCCCTGGAGATATTTTGGATTTCCATTATTTCTCCCATTGGCCATTTAAATAAGGCTGGTGGTAGCTGTGCACCAAAACCATGTTGGTGAAGACTGACACTGAATAAAGTTGTTGAAAGAAGCAGCAGCAGTTTAAAGGTCTGTCTTGTAATCAAAGACGTAAAAATGTGTGTAATTAAACACGTTCAGGGTTTGGAAATTTTTAAAGCAGCATTGACCACATAACTAATGTGGCGTCTCCCCAGTCATTCATCATTTTACGCAACAAGAAATACTGCCTCCTTTTGGCATTAATAATTCTTTCATGAGATTAATAGACAGCTAAGATTCTACATAAGTAATCATAAGAACAAGCAGATGATATGCAATCAATGGTTCTTGGAACCATCCCCAAATCAACATGCGTGGATCATATGGATCTATTTTTCATAACCTAAATCAAATGGCTCCAAGGCCAGAATTGTGGATCCATGTGTTTTGTACCATCCAAAAATTAGGGTTCTCAACCCTCATTTTTTGCCTTCAAATACCCAAATATTCCAGTCAAGCCTCCAAGATGATGCTACTGTCATTTTGCTTCCAACGTTTTGGGACCTTTTTAGCTTAGAGGCTTGATGGGAGCCACAAGACATTTAGAGGGGGGAAATGAACCTCTAAATTTAGAGGGGTTGGGATATGAGAATGAAATGGAAGAGCAACTTGCCAGGATCCCCCAATTACTGACAGGATCCCAAAATTTATGCTTCTCAAGATAAAGGAGAAAAATATATTTCAAATAAAAAATAGCTAGAGGATACTGGGAAAGTTGCCACAATTATAAGCACTCTCAAGATCCTTTTGCACACTCCTAGCAAAAGATGTGTAAAATTTGAGTTGCTGAAGCATTCTCTCCTGATATTTTACCCACATCTATGGCAGGCCTCCATTGGCATCCATTTTTTAAAAAATTTAAATTATTACATTTGGCCCAGACATTGTTTTTAAATGCTTGTGTGTTACTGTTTATTGTTTTTTGTCTATGTGATTTATATTAATTGTATTGCATTGATTATTTTGTTATTGCTTTTGTTATTGATGTACTGTGGGCTTGGCCTCATGTAAGCCGCACCGAGTCCCTTGGGGAGATGGTAGCAGGGTATAAATGAAGTATTATTATTATTATTATTATTATTATTATTATTTCCTCAGAGGTTGTGAGGTCTGTTGGAAACTAGGCAAGTGAGGTTTATATATGTCCAGAGAGAGAGAACTTTTGGCTGCTTGAGGCAAGTGTGAATGTTGCAAATGGCCACCTTGATTAGCATTCTTTCTTCCACCCTGGACATTCCACAGATATATAAACCTCACTTGCCTAGTTTCCAACGGACCCCTGAACCTCTGAGGTTGCCTGCCATAGATGTGGGTGAAATGTCAGGAGAGAATGCTTCTGGAACATGGGCATACAGCCCTGAAAACACATAGCAACCCAGGGATTCCGGGCACGAAAGCCTTCGAAACACATTGTGAAAGATTTTGTCAAACACCTCCTTTCTAAGAACAAAAGCAGATAAAGGTCCTTAAATTAAAATACACACAGAGAAAGAGAAATTAAAAAAATATAATCATTCAGGGGTGAACAAAAAAGCAATTTTTTTGTTACACTTATGTAATACTTCTGACACCTTAGAGGTCTTAATCAAACACATTGCCCATTTCTCATGTTTGTTTTTTGCTAAGAAAATAACATCAATTGCATAAAAAATACAATCTGCCAGTGGAAAATTCTTGATCGGTAAAGTTTTAAGTTACAGGTTAGCTTTTGGGTTGCCGCATTCAATAACTTTAAGAGAGAGGAGCTCTGAAATCTCTTCCTCGGAAATGTCATGTTCCAAGAGGATCTCTTTGGTGTGCTCTCCTATAAATGGGTCCCTTTTGAAAGAAGGGGTAGCTGGGGTCCTAGAAAGAACAGGGGCAGGTCGAGGGCTTATCTCCCCCTGATCGTTTTCAAGGAAAGAACCCCGTTCTTTGTTGTGTGGATGGAAGGCAGCTTCATCTGTAGTCAAAACAGGCGTCACGCAGGCATCGATGCCATCAAAGATGGCACACCACTCTGCTTGGGTTTTTGTCAAGAACACATCGGCAAAGGTCTTCTTCATTTCAGGCCAGTCAGACAAACTCATCTGGTGTGGAAGTTTAAGAGAATCTAGTCCCAGACCTGGAAAAAGATTTTTGAAAGAAAAAGTGACAAATTTAATTTACTGACCTTTGCCAAACAGTTGGATTTATTATCAGTCGATGAAATAATACAATAGAAATGTCAAAAAAGGTTGCATTCGCACACTGCATGTTTACCTGTAAATAGAATGTGCTGATGCACAAATGCTCTTGCATAAATATGTTTCTGAAGTCATTACCTTGACTGAACAGGAGCTGCCCAAGTAAAAAAGGAATCCTGGGTTATTTCATTCCCTAAGTAACTTATCTACAGGTAAATACCAGATCACTACACACCTCTGGAAAACTGTAGTATCTACCCACTAGAACAGGCATGGGCAGGCATGTAGCCGGGGGGGGGGGGGGCTTGAGGGGCTTCAGCCCCCCCCCCCCCCAAATTCTCATGGTGGTTCGCGAAAAGGCCTTACTGGTGCATTATTTAAACTGTTATGTGTATTCATATCATGATCTGATCACCATACTCAATATATCCCATATGCATGGGGGTATTGGGGTAATGATACAAAAGGTGTGCTAGGCTAGACCCTCTTTCACTCAGACTCAGCCCCCCCCCCGAAACTCAGCCCCCCGAAACCCCCTGAAAAAAAATTCAGCCCCCCCCCCGAAACGAAATCCTGGCTCCGGGCCTGCCAATACACTCTTGGGGCTGCATTGTGGGCTCGGCTGGGAGGACCAGGCCAGGAGGGAGGGGGGCTGATAACCTGCTGGGTGGGGAAGACCTGGGAAAGGATGGGGCCAGGAGGCAGCCGAGCACGGTAGGGCTTGGATCATCCTCAGATTGTCTACCCAGCATAAGGACGGGACCGCTCATCCCATCCTTATGCTGGGAGGGTGGGACATGTAGCAACTGCCCCAATCCTTCTTCCTACCATCTTCCCTCGATCCTCCAACTGTCCTCTTGGCATTATGCTGGGAGGACGATGAGACAGATGGTGGCTGAGTGTGCTCTGGAGAGCTTTCAGCCGCCACATATCATTCTCCTGACATAAGAATGGGGCTGCTCGCACCATCCTTATGACACATGGTGGCTGAGAGTGCTCCAGAGGGCTCTCAGCTGCTACGTGCCTTCCTCCCCCATCTTTTTGGCATAAGGACGTGGCAGGCCACCATGTCCTTATGCCAAGAGGGCAGGGAAAATGAGGAAAAACTGAGATATGTGCCCAGGGGGCTGCATCCAGCCCCTGGGACTTAGTTTGCCCATGTCTGCACTAGAAGGATCATCGAATCATGGCGTTGGAAGAGAGCACAAGGGCCATCTAGTCCAGGGGTTCTCAAACTAAGGCCCGGGGGCCATATACAGCCCTCCAAGGTCATTTACCCAGCCCTCGCTCAGGGTCAGCCTAAGTCTACTTGAAAGCACACAACAACAACAACAATCCTATCTCATCAGCCAAAAGCATGCAAAGAATGAGGAAGTACTTCATCAGTGTCACAAATGGACAGTGAAGTGACAGCTGGTGGCCAGAATACCCTTATAAATAAAAAAAAGCTGGAATGTTAAGTAGCCACTGTGTGTCTGTCTATATATGTTGTGTGTCTATGACATTGAATGTTTGCCATGTATATGTACATTATAATCCACCCTGAGTCCCTTGCTGGGTGAGAAGGGCGGAATATAAATACTGTAAGTAAATAAATAAATAAATAAATAAAAACAAAATAATCCCCTCAGTTATCAATATTCACACTCTGTCACCACATTGCAGTGGTTCTCAACTGGTGGGTCCCCAGATGTTTTGGCCTTCAACTCCCAGAAATCCTAACAGCTGGTAAACTGGCTGGCATTTCTGGGAGTTGTAGGCCAACACACCCAAGGACCCACAGATTGAGAACCACTGGAGTATAGGGACAAGAGAAAGATTCTTCCTAGACTGCACTGTTTGCCTCTGGCCTGTACAAGTTTCATATATATCCAAATGATATTGATTTCACCAATTGGGTATTGCAGCTCTTTGGATCTTACAGATTCAGGTATGTGGAAAGTTGCAAATTGTACTATTCTGTTGCTAGCCCCCATAGCTAAAGTAGGAAAGTCATGTTGTGGAACTTGCAATGCAGACTCCTCATTGAGAGTACAGCTTCTCTGGAACAACACCAAAAATGTACTAGATTATGCATTCCAGATACCATTAATTGGGGATGATAGGAGTTGTTGTCCATTAACCACCTAGGAAGTTACAGATTCATATACTAAAGTGTCATGTATCTTCAAATTATATGTCATATTTTATATCACTTCTAATGTTCCACTCAACATAGTACAAGAAGAGAACAGGAAATTAAAGCGATAATAAATTACACATGGATACATATTATAGTGCATGAAATACTTCCCACTTATAATAGGGTTTTTGTTATGAGAACATTTTCAAACTGAAGCCTTAACTATTCAACATTTGTTTTTTGCTCTATATAAAGCAGCATGTCCTAACTGAACCTATATAAACATTTAATGTGAGTGTATTTATTTGCTTTTATGTTGTTATGTGGCATTGAATTATTGCCAAACTGGAAGCCGCTCCGAGTCCCCTTCGGAGTGGAGATAGAGCGGGATAAAAACGCAGTAAATAAATAAATAAAATCACAATCTCATTGTGTGATTATATATAAAAATCATAGTGGAAAGAAGCCCGGAATAATCAATTTTCAGGCATATTGCAAATAGGAAATAGGAAAAGGCCACATTTAAATATTTTAATATGACACATTTATTAGTCAATAACCAGTGCAATGTTCCAAACCTATGATAAAAATAAACCATCCAGAAGCTCTTTATCTCTGACTTTGGAGATTATTTTGTTTTATGGTAGCTTCACAGAAGTTGAGGGCTAGGAAATGGGGGAAATACCTTTAGTAAAAACACTTTTTTCCTAGGGAAGCATACCACTGATATGTCATCCAGGCTAGAAAATTTTCATTTTCATTCTAGAAAATTGTTATCATTATAGCTTTATTCAGGGCTTGCTGTTTTACTGCTGCTGATTATGTTGTTATATTACTGTTGATGTTATGCCTCTTTGTACACTCTTCTGAATGGCAAGGCAGGAAAGAAACATTTCAAATAAGTAAAATACATAGGTTTCGGTTACTAAAGCACTTTAAAATCACACTTTATGATTATGGATATCAGATGCATAGGACTGGAACAATGAAAGTAAATACATAAATACTGCTTAACATGCAATCTAAACCAAGAAACCAAGAAAAAACATCAGGGAGCTGCCACCAAGAAAATTGCAAAGTTGGTGTCCAAAATGCTTTGATGGGCAGGAATTTGGTAATTTGTTGTTGCTAATCACTGTCAGGCCAGCATCAGCATATGACAACTATAAAAGAGAAACAGGTTTGTGACAAAAGAAAATGGAAAAATCACTAACATTGATTTCTCTTTGTGTTAAAAACTGATTTACCGGTTACAAAATGTATGCTGTTGTATGCTTTCATGTCATTTCTAACTTCTGAGTGCCACAGGATTCCGTCCTGGGCCCGGTTCTGTTCAACATCTTTATTATTGACTTAGATGAAGTGTTTAGAAGGCATAATCGTCAAGTTTGCAGACGACACCAAATTGGGAGGGATAGGCAATACCCCAGAAGACAGGAGCAGAATTCAAAATGATCTTAACAGATTAGAGGGATGGGCCAAAACTAACAAAACGAAGTTGAACAGAGACAAATGCAAGATACTCCACATAGGCAGAAAAAAATGAAATGCAAAGATACAGAATGGGGGACAATGCCTGGCTCGTCAGAAGTATGTGTGAAAAAGATCTTGGGAGTCCTTGTAGACAGAAGGATGAATATGAGCCAACAATGTGATGCGGCAGCTAAAAAAGCCAATGGGATTTTGGCCTGCATAAATAGAAGTCTAGTGTCTAGATCCAGGGAAGTCATGCTACCTCTCTATTCTGCCTTGGCCAGACCACACCTGAAATGCTGTGTCCAATTCTGAGCACTGCAATTGAAGTGATGTTGACAAGCTGGAAAGTGTCCAGAGTAGGGTGACTAAAATGATCAAGGGTCTGGAGAACAAGCCCTATGAGGAGTGGCTTAAAGAGCTGGGCATGTTTAGCCTGCAGAAGAGAAAGCTGAGAGGAGACATGATGGAAGTCATAGGGAGAAGGGAGCAGGCTTGTTTTCTGCTGCCCTGGAGACTAGGAAACGGAACAATGGCTTCAAGCTACAAGAAAGGAGATTCCATATGAACATTAGGAAGAACTTCCTGACTGTGAGAGCTGTTCAGCAGTGGAACTCTTTGCCCTGGAGTGTGGTGGAGGCTCCTTCTTTGGAGGCTTTTCAAGAGAGGCTGGATGGCCATCAGTCGCGGGTGCTTTGAATGTGATTTTCCTGCTTCTTGGCAAGGGGTTGCACTGGATGGCCCATGAGGCCTCTTCCAATTCTATGATTCTATGTTTATGGCGATCCTAAGGTGGGAGGAGAGCAATGACCAATCTCGATAAAATAGTGAAGAGTAGAGACATCACACTGGCAACGAAGATCCACATAGTTAAAGCAATGGTATTCCCCATAGTAACCATGGATGTGAGAGTTGGACCATAAAGAAGGCTCAGTGAAGGAAGGGTCCAGTAAAGCTGCCACTTTTGAACTGTGGTGTTGGAGGAAAATTCTGAGAGTGCCTTGGACTGCGAGAAGATCCAACCAATCCATACTTCAGGATATATAGCCTGAATTATCACTGGAGGGAAGGCTATTAGAGGCAAAAATGAAGTACTTTGGCCACATAATGAGAAGGCAGGAAAGCTTAGAGAAGACAATGATGCTGGGGAAAATGGAATGAAAAAGGAAGAGGGGCTGACCACGGGCAAGATGGATGGATGGTATGCTTGACATGACTGGCTTGATTCTGAAGGAGCTGGGGGTGGTGACAGCCGACAGGGAGCTCTGGTGTGGCCTGGTCTATGAGGTCACAAAGAGTCGGAAGCGACTGAACGAATAAACAACAAAAGGTGAACCTATCATG